GTAAACTGAATGAATCAAAATAGTGTTACTAAATATAAGCTTAAGTACCAAGTCAAATTTCGTAATGAAAGTTGCATGTTCTTTGGCGACTACTGCACGTTAAAGGTAGAGCTCTTCGATGCTTTGAGCATTAACTGAGGGAATTTTTGATCGAGCATCCAACCATATATGGGAAGCAGCAAACTCATCCATGACTTGTCACTGCAAATAAAACACTGGATTCTGAGAAGCAATTACCGAGAAGAAAAACCCGCAACTTTAAGCGGAAAATGTGTTGTTGGACCTTGAGATGCACCCTCAAATGCATGGAGGTTGTACAAGTGACGGACATATCGGGGTTGCAGAATTAATCAGACTCGGGAACAACGCTAGCCGACCAGTCTCATCAAAATTAAATGGAATTTTTTACTTTGGCTTGCAAAACTAAATATTGTGTAGGAGAGTCCCACAATATTTCAGTCCCTGACTTTTAGGGCTCTTCTTGAGTGCCGAAAAAATGGCTTCATATTAGCCTACATTTGGAATGGAGAGAACGTTTAAAAAAGAACTCAGCAGATTAGTTGGACATCAGAGATTTGCTTTTGGTAAACTGTTAGCAGGTAGAATAATTTAAAAATGGGACCGATATCAAGTATAGCATGTCACAGAAACGGAAAATTCAATTAAGTGGCGTCATAACACAGACTTGGCTTGCATGAGTATGGGGGCAGGATACTAACAGATAGAAAGATAGAAGGCGGTGGTGCTAATCGATCAAAAACGAACATACGAGACCCAGGAAGTAATTGACAAGATCCAGACGCGACCTTTGGAACAAAAACTACGGGAACTACTACATATATGCACGAAGAACGTACGGTTACGGTTCAATGGACACTTGCATCGTCGGATCGACGGCGTAGATATGGTCAGTCCATTAGACCTGTCCTAGCAGCTATTTTTATGTCGAATCTTGAACGAAAAACAACAAAACGCATAGGAAAAACGGCTTTTTATAGACGATAAGTGGATGATATTTTTGCTATAGTCGAAACCCTAAGGAGGGTAAACTGATACTTAAAGCAGTGAACAAGGCGCATACAACAAAGATCAAGTTTGCCATTGAGCGTGAAAAGCTATAAACACTGGCTTTCTTAGACCTGCTTATCCGCAGGCGTGCAGATGGTTCCATTCAGAGGTTGATCTATCGGAAAACCAGGTGTAAAGGACAATACGTGCACTTTCTTAGTTTCGTTCCAATTCAGAGGAGATGAAACTTGGTTCTGTACCTTTTCAATAGAACTGCGAGATTCCGTTCTTCTGATACGATCGATGAGGAGGTGCGTTGGTAACAGTAGCTTATATAGGCCCACTCATTAATCCCAACATCTTGCAAGTTTCCCTATAAAAAGGGGGTTGTAGGGTTTTATGGGTGGGGAATTAGGAAACGCAGTGGAATATACTTTAATAAATGCTAAATGCTTTTTTATTTTACTGCATTTAGGAGTGTTGTTGATTTATATCGGTGCATTTTCCTTATCTGTATGATCGTTTAACTTATTGCAGAAAAACCCGATTATCAAATTGCAAGTTCCTTGAATTTCCCAAAAAATTGAAATAATGGTAAGGAGGTCGTCCACTTTAACTTATTTGAGGTTCAACTTACCGTTCTGGAGTTAGATTAGTATAGTCCGCGGCGCGAAGCGCCCCATACACCTTTAATTTGCATGCGGAAAAACTTACTTCCAGCGGCCGCGGAAAGCAAATTCGACTATACTTTTTTCACAAAACGCTTACTTCGAAAATTTCCTTCTCTGCCTATCCTATTTCCCCACACCCCTAAACTCTATAACCATAGTTTTTGCTTGAAAAAATGCTGGGACTACGGGTATATGTGTGGGCCTAAATAACCTACTTTTGCCAGTGAGTTTTCTCAACCATGTGTTATATGGATACGGCTTTTCTGAGAAATTAAGTGATAAATATCAAAACCGCAGACAAGAAATTGCTCCTGCAATATTAGTGCCAACAAAGCCGTGAGCATTTTACTCCCTCTCAAGGGTGATGATGTCTCCAGCGTAATAAATCGGAGGCTTCGAGGCACATTTGAATGAAATTATCTTGTTGCACTTGGGCACAACCAACGACTATTTCAGTTCCACGGACTGAATATCTTTTTCTTAAAGACCCTCTGCCGATGCACGCCACTTCAAACTGTGTTTACGAATTCACATGTAGTTGCGGATGCCAATGCATCGGGCGCACGCTAAGGCAGTTGGCAACGCGGTCAGCTGAACACATGCCAAAGTGGTTGCTCAGGGCGGAACATAAGGTACGCAAGAGTTCGATCACGAAGCTGCTAGTGGACACTTACCATACAGTCGACCAGACGACTGCATTTAAAGTCGTACTTCAAGCGATGACCGGGTGTGTTCTACGCTTTGCGGAGGGCACTGCAATACGGAGAAGAAAATCAAAACTCTGTAAGCAGCTCGACCATGTGATCAACCTCGCATTGCCGTGGTAAGGATCGATAAACTCATTC